TCTCTCTCTCTCTCTCTCTCTCTCTCTCTCTCTCTCTCTCTCTCTCTCTCTCTGTCACACACACGATCGCGTGTTGTCTCGTTCCTCGCGTGTGCCTCGTATCGTGTGTGGGTGTCTTGCGCTTGGCCTTCCCTTGACACCACGAACGGAAATCAGCCGGACTGTCTACCGTCGATGAGGGAAGTGAGCAGGAATCTACGCACCGAGAGCTACACCGACCCAGCGCCTACATCAATCTCGCCACCACCTTCCTGTACATGACCAACTACTACATCGTAGGACCAACGTCGGCTGAGGTATGTGAGCGTGTAGTCTACCAGAGGGTGGGGGGCGAAGAGTATGGCTAGCCGAAGGAGGGGGCAGGGGGGGGTAGTGATGGATCACCAATGCAGTGGGAATGATACACGTGAGGTGTCCACTACTACTCGTAGGTGGTGGCTAAAATTGCTAGCTGAGGGACTAACTTTCTGTGTGTTTGTTGGTGAGTACCGAGGGCGCGAAGGTCGACCGCTTCGTCTTAAAATAGGTTGGATATCGCACATCAGGTTTTATTAGTTTGTCCATAAATTATCACTCAGTTTTTTTTTTCCACCTATCAAGGCTGACTGGATGCTGTATCGCGTTGTGCTCTTGCTGATCGGTGGAGTTCCTCGCCCGTACGGCAAGCATGGTACAACACCTGGACAGATCATGAGCTAGCTCACGAAAGTCTTATGGATACATCACGATGGAACATACACGGATCACCTTCTAATGTCCTTCAGATCACCATGGAGCAACCATGCTCGGATCACCATGGAGCAAACATAGACAGATCACATATGCAGGTGTCCTACCGATCTGTAGGGATCTGATCTGTCCTATGTGTTAAGGAGTGTTGTCCGCCTGCTTGTTTTGCGTAGGGTACGCATACGCTAGTAGCCAACATTTTTCGCGATTTTCCGAGCTCTGAAGGGACGCTGTGACGATGAAGAAGATGACGACACCGACCTCAGCAACGAAACCGCAAGATACACCCACGACAACAACCATGATGATGACGTTGATCGCCGAAGTCACCATACCACGAGACAAACGCCGCTCGCAACGACAAACGCCAAACGAACCGTAAAGACACAGAAACGCCTCTGTTTGTTGCCAACGAATCCCGGCCGAAACATCAGTACGCCGCGGCCCTGGGAGGGTCCCCCGCCGTGTCCGGCCTGATCATCGGCATGACTCCCATCGCGGCCTGCTTCTCCTGCCTCCTCTATTCCTGGTGAGTTATGTACGTAAGGCTTACTAGTGGCGACGAGGGGGAACGGGGGAACATGGGTCTAGTCGCGGTGGGTTACTCTTGCCAATCTCTCTCAGGGGGGGGACGAGGGGGAACGTGGGTCACGCCCCCGCAAAAAAAAAACGCCTCGCGCGTGGTTTGCGTAGACCATGAAATACATGGCAGGATGACACAGCTTTTACACGAGTTTAACATGAATGTTTATTTATTTTCGCAGCAGAGCGATCAATGGTGTAGGGGCAGCCCTTAGCTCTCCATTTTGTTTGGTCCGGTGCTTGTTTTTGTATGACTGACCACAGCACGTCCTATGGGCGGCGGAAAAAAAAATGCTGTGTGTACTGCTATGCGTTAACCCTTCATGCAGCCCTAACTAACCCTCTATTGTAACCCTACTGTTACAGGTGGACTAACACCTCGTTCAGGGGCCCGCTGCTGCTATGCAGCGCCATGCTCATCGTCGGCAACTTCCTGTACGGCTTGGTGAGTGGAGAGTGCCCCGCCCGCCCCCTCCCTCCCGCTACGAGGCTGGTCGGTGGGAAAGGGACGAAGGCAGAACGGCTAATATTGTGCATTTTTTTTCAGCTTGTTTGACGTGCCATTGGCTTGTGCGTCGAAATCGATATGTTTACCAGTAGTACAGAAGACAAGCTGCTCGCCGTCCTAACGGATTCATTGGTAGGCAACTAGGCAATCTCAATCTCTTGCTGCCAATTATCCACACGGGCACTCATACACTCGATCCCTCCTCGTGTCAGCACGTACTCCCCGTGAAAGAGTGCACCACTCGTGTCGTTCGTCGTCGTCGAAGTCTGATCCTGCCAGCATCCTGGCAAGGCGTGAGCACTCTCGATACTGCAAGAGGCGGAGGGATGGCACCCGCCCCCTAGACCGACTTTCAAAGCTCGATTGCTCCACAACAAAGCTTGTGCCAACACCAAAGATGGTGGTATCGGAAACATGTCGTAGACGGCTTTCCGTAGACGTATCGGGCTCTCTACGAACCGAACCCACTTCTCTTCGAAGCAATCGAGCTTGGAAAGTCGGTGTAGGGGTTGTGCCATCTCTCCGCCCTTTGCGGTTGATAGTGCACCCCGTAGCCGGAGAGATCAGGCCCGGCAGCCTCAACGTTAGCTTTTGTGCGCCGTGGTCAGAAGCAGAGTTGTGCGCTCGAGCAAAGCGGGTAGGGTAAGGACAGCGCGCAGTACAGCGCGCAGTGCAGTGTTGCCGCGTCTGCCTCGTGTCAGCCACGCTCGCGGAGTGGTTTTTCTATTTAGGGTTAAGTGCTCAGAGGCAGAGGAGTGCTTTGGTACAGTGTTGAACGAGAATGTTGTCAAGGTGCGCGGCACACGCTTGCTCTTCAAGAAGTTAGCCTAGCTAGCCCCCTTCGTCGCCAAGCTGCCTGCTACATATGTTATCAGCTCCGCCTCTTGTCTTCCACTTGCGCGCCGTGCCCATGCCCTCCCTCTTTTCCGTCTCCCTCCCTCACCGTGGCTGCCATTGACAACCCCTTTGACGTGACAATGGCAAAAAACACCGAACGAACAAACACTCGACGCTTGTGCGCCGTGCTGGCGTGCGTGCCGCAGGCCCTAACGTACGATGCCTTCTGGATGGTGCTGGTGGGGAGGTTGCTGATTGGCCTGGGTGGCGCACGCGGGGTGAACCGTCGGTACATTGCCGACACCATCCCGATCGCAAGCCGGTGAGCACATGCGGGAAGGAGAGGGGTGGGGGCTGCTCATCGTTGTGCACGACTTAGATGATTTGTTACACCATTGATCACGCGTCCTAGAGAGGACGGAGGAAGCATTGTCCCCAGAGGACCAATCCGATTGCCAATCGACCCTGTGTGGGGCGGGGGGAACAAACCCGAGGGAGTTTGGAGGAAGGGTAGTCCACTCCGATACCCTGCCTTGTGATTTCGCGCTGATATTTCGACACACACACGGGGGGGGGGGGGG